CAAATTAACCTTTAGGATTTCATCAAACATATATGCAAATACTTACCTGTAGAATTTACAATCGTTTGATACAGGATTTTTTTAAAAATCTGATAACGTTTGACATAAGTCATGTGAGCAGTCCTGCAGCAGAATGAATGAAACCCTCCGTTTTAGTAAGATAGAAAGGGACTTACTAAATAAGGTATCAGGGATTCAACCCGCACAGGCAATAAATCACAGCTTCAAACACTGATTCAAATACTACAGCTTTGGGAAATGCAACTTCCGACAAAACAACAGCTGGAAAGAGAAATTGAAGGAAGCCAAGGTATGAACGTACAATTGTTGTTGTTGTGCCTGAGTAGCAGTTTGCAGTTGTACTGGTGCATGTGGTCGTACATGTTGAGGTGAAAGTACTAAAAGCATGGAAAAATAAGAAAAAAATAAAGTAGTTGTATGTTTTAGAATTGTACAAAAATGATATACCTTGTTCAGCAGCTTGTGCATCAAGTGGATTTCTTTGTATCTGAAACAGATATGGGTAAATTTTTACTTTCAAAAAATGCCACTGGAAACGAATAATTTTTCACTGATTACTTTTCGAAAGCAATTAACAAAAAAAAGAACTGCTGAATTAAAATTCAAAGAAAATTCAGTTGTAATTTCTACCTGACAAAAAATTTCGCTAAAGGCAATAATTTTAAGATATACTATGTCTGATAACGAGTCAAATTTTCGCTTAATGAATCGACAATTTAATTTCCAGAAGTGCAGGCTCTCATACTGTGCAGAGCACAACCCTCTTCCATGCTATTCCAATCAGTTTCGGTTTTTTCCGCTATCTTTACTACTTCATTATCATGTCATCACTACGCTCAAAAATCAAGACTAACTAGACGCAACATACGTTTTATCAATACATGCAACAATATGAGTTTACCCTCCAGAGAAACAATTTTTTTTTATACCTAAAATTCCAAGTTTGTTTCGCAACCAACCTGTGCACCGACGTACGGATTCCTTTGGATATACAACAAAACGATACTAAAAAATTGGACCAATAAATTCATCCTGAATTGTAAATAAAAATAAAAATAGAACTCTTGCTGGCAAGTAAGAAGGTACGAATGAGTTCGTATGTGAAAATATAAGAATAAGTACAATAAGTCGAAAAATAGTAATTACGAAGAAATTCGGAATAATTCTCAGAATGGGGATATCACCAACTTCACTAAAATATACCTCAAGTAACTGATTAAATTTATCGGCTGCAAATAATGAAAGATTCATTCGTACTGGTAATGGAACACCTTATGAGAAAAATATCACGCAGAAGGCCATTTGATAATGGAAAAAGTCTTCACTTCCATTTTTGCTTTTGCCATAGCAAGAGAAATAATGCTACAGAGTTCTCACAGCGAATATTCATGATCAGAGTCTTCCCACGAGTTACCGGTCCTAGTCATATTCTCTTTCACACTAATCAAGTTCTACCCCAGCCCTTTGTTGAAAAAAAAAATGAAAGTATCAGCACTAAAGTACCTTAACATGCTGAATTATTGAGAAAAAAAATTTCACACTCCACAATACTGACAAAATTCAAAGAACTTGTATGACAGACATAAAGAAAACTTATTAATACTTTAGTAACCTGGGCAAAAGCAAAATTGAGAAAACCAATAGCTGCATACTAAGATAAAATGTTGCTGCCAACTAAATCAATCATTACTGGAGATGATCAACACTTAATTGTTAGCAACAACACGACTTGTACCACGACATCCAACAGTATTCATGAGCAATAACAAAATCATAAAAATTTAATAAATGCTACAATACATGTGCACTATAAAAACTAAAAAAATAAGACTTTATGAAAAATAATATTTAGTAATTCCAATCATTAATTTATGCACGTAACCCTGCCCTGTTGAGGCCAAACTTTGTATTTTAATGTTCGTCGTCAAAGACTTAAGTTAGTTTTTTGTTGCAGCAAGCAATGAATAACCTCGGTCAGGATCTATCAGTTTCTGTGTAAATAGAGTTCAATTTTTTGAAATCCCAACATTTTAAAATTCCCTCTTGCAAAAAAGACACGTCACTGATTTAACTACCAACTCTGCTTGAAAATGTCACTGGGCTGGCAACAGTGTCTAAATGAAAAATGCCAACCAAAATGCTAACAGTTTTTTGGGAAATAAATTAATTGAAATAGATGGTAAAGGGAAATAATGATGATGCTGATGAAAAAAGTGATGTTTCTATGATAGGGAATATCATTTTTATGAGCCTAATTAATCGAAATGATCGATAACAAGTATATCCTTTAAGCAATCTCCTAACCACAGTAGTATAAATCACAGGCAAAAAGCGTTATTATTTTCATCACTATTTCATAATAACATGAACCTAAAAGCGTTTTACAAAGCTTTAACAATCTTCAAAAGTAATTTAAAACTCGATGCGAAGACGTTCTTTGAAAAACAAACAATCAAAAACTACTGAAAAAATAAAAGAAAAACTGCAGGGGAATTTTGAAGCTTTAGTCATCATAATTGGTATGTCAGTGTTGTACCACCAGTTCAT